GCAGACTATAGCATTAGAAGGATCCGTGTTTATTAATAATATGAATTTGAAAAGCCTCCAGCCGAGCAGGAAAACGACAACTGCTGTGCAAGGAAACGGTGCCCTGAAAAGGGAACCTCGATGAATGGAATTCTGTTTGGCTCATTTTCGAAACTGCTTTTTCCGAAGCTTCTTGTTTGCTCCCGGCTGAATGCATAGAAGGCCTCATTAAACATTCCTTCTGTGTCGGATTCCCTCTTATCTCGGACCACATTTTCTTTCCTAATTATGTTTCCTCTCTGTCAACTCGAGATTCAATATGGGGACTGTGAAAAATGATATGAAGACAAAGAAAAGGAGTCGTTATAGGTTTTTTTCCCAGAGAAAGAAAAAGAAACTAGTTCGATGAAGGCAATTTTCCCCAGTCTATTTTCTTCCATTCCCTTCCCTCCGTGCCAGCGGCTTAAGCCCGAGAATGAAAGGATTAAGGGGATTAGCGGGGGGGTTAGGAATTAAATACAAGCACAGTACTTTCCCGTTTCTGACTTTACCCTGGTGAGAAAAAAATATATTCGGAAATCTCGAATCGATTGGTCTGATCCACAAGAGTTCCGAGTTGACGAGTTTCCAAGTTGTCCATCAAGCTTGCGCAGAGAGCAGGGACGACAGCACGATTCCACATAGTATATAAACTCCGCATACAGTTCCGAGGTTTTCACAAAATGTATTACTGACAATTTTCTGAACTCACTGGCCAGAGCAAATGGTTGTCAGAACAACTTTCTTCAATTTGCAATAACATTTATTCCATTTACAAACTTTTTCTTAGCACACCCAATTTGGAAGAGTAGAAACTCACCAAAATTAAGCTGAATAATTGTGACTTGATCGGTTTCCAGCCAGACCATCGGACCGCCCGTGGACCCAAAGAAAATCCTTTAGAAATGAAATGAACTCTCGATTCATCCCTTGAGTACCGATCTGGATCGTCTCTTTTCGTATCTCGATCCTCTTATCGCTGCCTGCCATGTTGCAGCGATACGATAACTTTCGTATTTCGTTGATGAAACCCACTTCGTTAATGTCGTCTATATTTACTTACCGTCGCACGTCTCCATCGAGTGTTTGTAATTTATAATTGAGACTCGCGAGAAGACTAATCCTTTTCTGCCTCAAGAGATTAAAAAAAGTTATCTTCATGCCAAGGAGACGACATAATTTGATCGAAAAGTTAGAGAGGCGTCTCATATGTAATCATGGAAGTCTTGCTGTTGACTTCCCAGTCTCCACGACAATATTGGCTCAACGTTGAAAAGATGCTGACGATGCTGAGGAGATGTTGATGCTGAAGATCCAATGCATTCCTAGTCTACCTTCTTAGCCAGCGTTGACCTGATGCTGAAAATATCAATATTGCTAGGACATGGTCCGGTCAACGTTACATCAACAGATGTCGGGTGAGACATCTATTGATGTGACAGGCATTTAAACAAACAAAATTCCTCGTCCCCGAAGTGAGATGGCGACAAATCGCCTACACAGTGAGTTACCTCATACATGCAATCGGCACGCATCCGCAGTACTTTTGGAACGGTACTTGATATTTCCTCCACAGACGACACCAGGGGAGGTATTTGAATTCCTGGATACATTCGACTGAAGAGGCAACCCAGCCCATCGATACCCAGGATGATTCTGAGCCTGGAAATGAAGAGAAGAAAGTCCCTGTGGCGATGCGACTCCATGAGATCCTCCCCCCCCCCCCCCACCCAATCCGGAAAATAAGGCCCATGTCTATTTAAACAGCTGCGTTGTTTAAATAAAACGGAGTGATTACTAGTCGTCTTCTCATTGGCTGCAATCACTCTCTCGTCCTCTTGCGAGTCCGAGATGCCTCTCTAATCTCGGCTATCCATGTCGAGATGGGAGAGGGGTTATCTTTATTTCGATATCCGAGGGGTTGAGAAGACGCTGATACAGCATCCGCAGAGTCCTTCAGCAAGTAAATGGTGCATGAGCAGGAATTCAAAAGAATGTTAAGACATTGTTGTGACCTGTATCACTTCAACACAGAGACATGTTGGTTCAATGTGACAATCAATTTCCCTCAACGTTGACTCAACCCGATGGATGCTGAAACTTCAATGCTCTTACAATGTTGTATTAATATTGCTGTTCAGACTGGATTGCTTCTTCAACTTCTTTGATGGTTATGTACAGGGTGGTCCGAAAAAAAAATAAATGAAATAAATACAATAAATTTAATAATATCGCACAAGGAAGTTGTTAATATCACTCTGACCAGCACCATAACTATGAAGATAGTGTTTTACTATCCACATTCGCTCCTGCACTGAATACTGAGGCATTTTGGTTCAGTTATAATCACCTGAAATGAAAAGAAAATAAAAGAAAATTTCACTTAATTTTTTTTGGACCACCCTGAAGTATAGAGAATGAATAGCGTAGAAGCATAGAATAATTATAGAATGTAGAGTCCGATATCTAAAGTCTGATAATAGAATCGAATACTTTTTTTGATTGAAAGCATCTGGAATATTAGAACTCCAGTGGAAGCTGTGGCAAGAACTGGAAAGTCGTCCAGCAGGTGTTTGTGCACGATTTCACCGTGAGTCCAGACAGATGTGAGTGGCAGATATCCGCAGCGGAAGGAAGTGAACGATGCCATCGGTCACGCATATTTTTTGGCTTTCTTGTAAGGACATTTTATGGTTTTGTAAGCCGAGGGGAGGCGAGAAGCAGACTCCTTCGATAAATACCAAAATTTGTCATCTCATCGATTCTAGGATGTGGACGTACAGTATCTTCTGGTGCAGAAGCCAAAACTGTGAAAGATGGGCAAGGTCCCGCATATTTCTTTGCCTTCGCGACAGGCTTCCTATCGCCGGCAGTTTCAGCTTATTGTAGGATGCTATTTCGATGACTATCGTGTTATATCGCGAGTCGAGGTGCACATCTAAACTAAAATACAGGTCTAGAAGTAAAGACATCCTAAGCAAAACGGTGAGTATTTATGGCGCGACCGTCCATCTTGCATCGAACTGCATCGAGACAGTGCCACGAACCATGGCATGCATGATAGAAGGCGCAGTATGCAGGCCTGTGAAAATTGTAAGCCTGCAGCACAGGTGACCTCCACGGTCTCTGGGATCCAGCGGGGTGGCATCCCGAAGCAGGCGCCCATAACTTCTCTCACCCATCGCGGAGAGCGTCGAACAGCCCCGCGACGGTTGTTTTTTTTTTAGGGGGGGGGGGGGGGGGGGAAGGAGGGGGGGGGGGGGGGGGGGGGTAGATTTCCGAATATATTTTTTTCTCACCAGGGTAAAGTCAGAAACGGGAAAGTACTGTGCTTGTATTTAATTCCTAACCCCCCCGCTAATCCCCTTAATCCTTTCATTCTCGGGCTTAAGCCGCTGGGGAGGGAAGGGAATGAAAGGGGGTGGAAACACAAAGGATGCAGCTCGTTAGTGCAATCAGCGGTTTTTGTTCTTCGCATCGATTAGTTCATCAATTCCAAGTGAGGGAGAAGGCTGACAAGCTTCAACAATCGGAACAAAAGCATGCAGAGGAAAATGAAGCTTCCTCAGTCATAAATGGGGAGCTCTGCCTGTGATGTGGTCATTTAACTGCCTGTCTGAGTGACAGAAACTTTTGTTGTTTTTGGTTATAAGTATAGTGAATAGAGACTACACTCTTAAAAAAAAGTGAGCGCCAACCCCAGTTTTCCTCCCTTTTTACTCTGATGAGTGTGCAAATGGAGAAGAAATTTTACGCTTTCACCTTCCTCTAATTTTCTCCTCTTTTTGCTCTTCCAGAGCAAAAATGAAAGGGGAAAAGGGAGGAAAGAGAGGAAAACTGGGGCTTGCGCTCGCCTTTTTTTAAGAGTGCATTTGTCTTGAAAAGTGGTATATATTTAAAAAAAAATCCACATGAAAGGGTTAAGTCATGTTACGGCTTTGGCACACCATCTGATGAAATGGATGTAGAAAATCCTAGACCCATCGCGATCTGCTTTTCAATATATCTGCTTTTAAATGGAGCTCATATTTTAGTTCGCATTATACGATCAATGTCGACAGTGGTTCCCTGGGAACGATCACCACGTATCTCTCCAAGTAGCAGTACTAAAGACGCTGCCTACTAATTTTTTCATTTCACTTGGTATTTTCGGTCAGCCGCACGAACGACAGTAGAATACTTTATTCTTCGAAGGCGGAGAAAAGCACATCCCATGCAAGAACCATCATCGAACCAAATACCGAAGAGTCGCAAGGTGGAGGCGATCGAAGCGCCGATCGGATTGGACCGAATTCCCTAGGCGAAGCGGGTCTTCCTCTGCAACCCATTCACGAGCACGCCTCAACGGAGAAAGAAAATGCACGTATCACATGCAGGACGACGCTAACTCCATCCATCCATCCTGAATATGATAGACTACGTGGCACAGGTAAGCGTCTCTTCCGGAAAGGGACGGGACTGAAAAAAAAAAGACTTCGACGGCGAAACAATCACTCTTCCTAACAATCACTCTTCTCCCCAAACGACAAACAGGCACCATTTAGAATCGCACGCTCCGGTCTCTTAAAAACATTGTGTACTAAACAAACAATTGTGTACCGAAAACACTTTAAAATATCTCTATTCCTGGTAGAGATGTTGTACGTACTATGTTACAAAGTGTATACTGAAGATACAATGTCGATGATAAAATTGACACAATCGTGCGGATCGATGATGCCCACATTGTATACTCCTGGCACACAATTTCCTTAAAGAGAGTATCATGGGAGATGAAAACGTCTCAACATCTATGGCGGAGAGGCTCCAAAGTCGAGAAAGGCTCTTCAGTGAGCAGAATCTGTACAAGGTGGAATGACGAGGCATCGATTCTCCTATCCCCCAGAGGGGTAAGCAATACGGACTAGGTCCCAAGCGTCGCGTCCCGCAGCGGCTGACTCGCATCGAGTATGAAGATTTCAAGAGATCGGTTCTCGGAGAATCTACTGCTGGGTTTCGGCGACGACCAGTGTCTTAGCGTCATCGGTCGCGTCTCGGTTACTAGTGACGGGGCCGTTGATCGTGGTGGGTCCGGCCTGGCGGCGGCTAACCTGGGTCTGTTCCTGGAATCCTCCCCTTCTCAAGTGGCATCGGCAGGCCCGACTGAAACTCTTCTTGAAATTCTCGCTTAAGAAAGCGTAGAGAATGGGGTTGATGGCAGAGTTGCTGTAGGCGAGACAAGAAGCCAAGAGGAAAACCGTAACGGCCTCGTGGGACATCGTGGATCGGTAGGGCGTGAGGAGAAGGCTCAGCTGAGTCGTCCAATAGGGCAACCAGCAGAAGACGTACACGGCTATGACGGTCAAGACCAGCTTCGTCACCTTCCTGTGGGATTTCCTCTTCTCCTGGGATCTGTTCTTGGGACCCACGGTTCGTAGCTTTCGGATGACGAGGCTATAGAAGATGAAGATGAGAATGACGGGGATGGCAAAGCTGAGGGCGAAGCTGTAGAAGATGAAGCACGTCTCCCCTCTCATGCTGTCGGAATCCGGAAAGATGACGTTACAGGATCGCCGCTCTTCCTTCCCCAGGACCCCGGAATACATGAAGATGGGAACGATCAGAAGAGCCGAGGCCGTCCAGGCCGTCAGGGAAACGATCCTCGAGATGAGAGGGGTTCTCAGACGAGGTGCCGAGATCGGGTGGCAGACGGCAATGTAACGATCAGCGCTCATCACCGTCAGGATGATGCTACTAGTGAATTGGTTGATGCCCGTCATCGTCATGTAGACCCGACACATGGTCGTCCCGAAGGGCCACGGCGAGAAGGACGTGATGATGACGAACGGGAGACCGACGAGGAAGCACTCGTCGGCCAGGGCCAGGTTCAAGATGTACAGATTCGTGACGGTCTGCATCTTGGAGTATCGAAGGACGACGTAGATGACCAGGCTGTTCCCGCAGAGACCGAGGATCATGATCAAGGAATAGAGAGTGACGGCAATGGACTTGACGATGACGAAACCCCTGGCTTCGGTCATGTTTCCTCCCAACTGGATGACACCCTCGTCGAGGGAGAGCGACTGGCTCTCGTTCCTCCAGAAGTCTTCCATGAATCCCTCCACGTTCCCTGCGTTCTCCATCTGCTTGGGGAAAACGAGAGTTCAGTTCCTTCCTGCTTTCACCCTGAAATGGAATAAACACAAATGAAGACGGTGTGCCTAAGGGTTGAGACCAACCCGTTCCTATTCTCTCCTCTCACAGATTCTAATATCCGTCTTCGTTGAACCTTATTTTCCGTGTTCCACATTTTGCGCCTCAATTTCATGGTCAAATGGCGAGAAAAGTTTGCCCGTGTAGACAAGTCACGGTTCAGTGGTCAAACCGGTTGTGGGCGATTATTATGCAAACCCCACTGAACCCGCTGCTCTTTAACGTACTCTTTGTCTGGAACAACTTCATTTCACGCATCATCCTGATCGTTCATTACGATGCCTTTTTGTTCTTTCAGTTATTTTTTCCCTCAGGAGGGCAGGATATGACCCCCATTTCCCCCTGGTTCCGCCCCCTTTCTGCGCTACTTCAGGGATGGGTAAAATCGAATCATGGTTCCATGAAATCAGATTTATATGACATCCTGGTATCGTATTAGCCTCATTTTTCAGAAATCGAATCAATAGATTATTCACTTTGTAACGTGAGTAAGGTGAAAGGTGAAGCCAAATCCCTTGATAAATATGCCAGAAATAGGATATTCGCGCAATTCCAGCACTTATTGGGATCGGAAAGGGCGGGACACGCCGTGAACATCCCAGTCATCACTTAGACCAGTGCTTCTCAACATTTTTTTCCCCTCAAGCGATGATAAGGACGTGGCCGCATCATCTGGTGCGTCTTTGCGGAATGGGAGCATAGCATGCGATCAATGTGCTAAAAGGAACGGAAGACGTGTGCCACTTTTTTCATCGATCGATAACGAGACATACGGTGTCCGGATATGCTCTTCTCCCTGTTATATTCTCTCCCCTCGGAAAAGGATACCAGACACAAGCTGGAACATTTCCCTCTTTGTGGTGGACTCATACCCCTTTCCTTTTTTCCCTTTTATTCTCTCCCTTCCTCCTTTCCCCTTTGTTTATGGTAAAGTTCTGGAACGAGCGGAGTCTCTTAAACGCGAATGTGCATCGATTTGCACCGCCTGCTCTGCGGTGTGATGGTCGTTCGACGAAGCAGAAAACGATTTCGGAATCAAGTGACTTCGCGAAAAATCTGCTGGAGTTTCCTTCTTCGTCGAATCGCAATCCGGCGGGTAGGTGACATCTGACAGCATGCGGATTTCCATTCCCTCCACATTCCCGCATCTCTGCCCGAGTGCGTTCAGATGATCACCCACGAGGTTCATCACAATCGGTGAGATTCTTGCGATCTCGTGGGAAGGCACAGCTCCTCTCGCGTCTCCTCTAGGCAGCGCCGAGCGGAAGGATGTGGATAAAGCGTGCATATGAATTTCCCTTCAAAAGACTCAATATACATGTACAGAAACCAGGGCCGGATTAAGGTTATGAAGGGCCTAAGGCTAATGGGAGGGAAGGACCCAAATATGAATTACATATTGCATGAAAAAAAATGGAATGGGGGGCCTAAAATAGCTATAGCCTTAGGCCCTAATATTTATTAGCCCATGGGGTTAATCCTGCCCTGACAGAAACTAGAACCCAGAGATGAAAAGCAGTTGCTTCGGATCGAGATGACACGGTTGCGAGGGCAAGACATAAACCACTATTTCCTTAGAATGTACTCAAATTCAATTGAAGGAAGGTGCCAACTCTCAGGAGGGAATTTTTTTTTTGAACTGGAGGCAGCTTGAAAGAGATGGAGTCTTCTGTCCTGGAAACGAGAGACCCCCGATCGACTTCAAAGAGGAGAAACTCATTCGTGGAACGCTATGGAGTGACTGCATTCCTTTACGATCCAAAAATGGATTTTCAGGATTTTCCTGTCAGTTTTTTGCTTTGAAATGTATTTTCAGGCAATAATATTGAGGTTCAAAACATTTAAATTTCTTCTTCTAATACACTGATCAGGTCCCCTGCTCTTCATGATTTTCCCCCAAGAGGCATGAATTTCTAAAATGAATGCATTTCGAATCGTTAAGGTGCGATGGAGCATCCTAGAGGAAGATTAAATATCCCGAGATGAATAAATTCATATTCATGATTTCCATCTCCCCGGAAAAAATATCCTGGTGCTCTTTCAGGCCTGAAGGAAATTACCGGCATTCATTTTTTTCCGAGGGAAATGCTCTCCTGGAAGTGGAACTATGCCGGGACACCGGCGGAAACGAGAATAAAAAGTCATTCAGACGTTCTTCTCCACATTTCGTTCTCGCGTTCGACAATCAACTAATAACTCTCATCTACGTCGCGCGAAATATCTCATCAATTTAGTCCATCAGATCTATTGACAATGTATATTTTTGAAATACCACCTGGAAGGAGGGATGCGGAGGGTGAGTGTGGTGAACGAGTGTGGTGAGAGAGTATGAAGGCCGAGTGAGCGATGGAACGATAGTAGCGCTGTCCACGGGAAGGGTGAAAGTTAGAGGTAAAAGCGTAAAAGCTGTGGGGTGTCCGAAGATTTCGTGATTTCGAGAGTCCCGTCCCCCGTCGAGACATGAAATAAGTATTCTGAATTATTCATGTACAGAATCTTTTCTGGTTCAGTCGCTGCAGCAGCAGGACCTGGACGGACAAAGGGTTCATTCATGAGGAAGCCTCAATCTTCTCCCTTCCCGCCTCAACTGGGAACAATGGATAATTTATTTCATAACGAGACGAGACGTCCAGACGGCGGAACAGGATGAAAGGGTAGAGGCGTTCTCTGGAGACGTTCCTGGAAGCATGTGCATGCTTGAAAATGATAAACACGAGCAAGAAGACTCCTCTTCTTGTCGAGTTTGCAGCCTTCAAGAGGAATTCAAGGACTTCCGTGTCTTTCAAGACGTCGGTGTCTCCCGTTTCCTTCTTTCTATTTCCTTTTACGACCGAGTTGGGCACTTTCTCAAATGACTCCAGCTCCTATTCATGTTTCTTCCCGCGGATCGAAGCAGAAATGAATCGGAAAGGTCCGGAACTCACGCGAAGAGACGTGCAAACTTCAAAAGAGATTGATATCGTCGCAAGTCGGACAAGAGGGCGATTATACAACTTTGACATTTTCCTGGAGCAGTAAGAATGTCCTTTTTTTCTAACAGAATGGATACAAAGATGAATCGAGGGCGAGCCAATAAGTAAAGACACAATAATTATTTGCAACGAATAGTGCAACCGTGCAGGCACAGAGGTTGTTCGGTGGTGAAGGTTTGTTCCTCCTACGTATGTAGTTATAACATCAGCCACCTGAAGGGCCATTGTCCAGTGAAAAAAAAAGAAGACGGCTCCACTAGAGACAGGTACAGTTGCGGAACAGCGTGCTGTTATCAGATTTTTACGGTCAGAAGGTGTGAGGAGCGCCGACATCTAAGGCAGAATTGTTAGCACGGAGGTAACTATATGAACAACCGAAATGTGTATAAGTGGGTGTATAAGTGTATAAGATATGTGTATAAGTGGGTGGAACGGCTGGAAAATGGGCGACATGACATAGATGATCTGCATCGCCCAGGACGACCAAAACCATGAAAACCATCAACAACCTTGGTTGGGAGATTCTGCCACATCCAGCTTACAGTCCTGACTTCGCACCATCAGTTATCATATATTCAGTCCCTTAAAAGAAGCATTACAAGGCCAAAAGTTCGCTGACGATGACGCTGTAGTGAACGCTGTCCGAGTCTGGTTGTGACCAGTCCAAATAATTATTTGCTGTGGGGATTAGGAAACTTGTGGCAAGATGGGACAAATGTATCAATGTGCATATTTGGAAAAATGACCTAAAGTTTGTACTTGAAAGGTTCCATTAAATATATTAAGTTCACCTTTGTGTCTTTACTTATAGACTCACCCTCGTATTATGATATATCCACGTTTGCACCAGAGAGTCGAGAGTCTAAATTCCCTGATGCAGCAGTGAATATTCAATCATCATTCTTCCGTCTGGCAGAAAGGTAACTCGTTGTCATGAAAAATTTTCAAGGTTTCACTTTCGCCCTTTCGTCAGACCAGCTACGCTGATTTGAGAGGAAGAAACGTAAAATAAAAACAAAAACTCTTTGAGGCAAACGGAAAGGAGACTCCGGAATCGATCCAGGCGTCCCCGCACGCTCTCGGCCGCCTCGAGGGAATGACCCCGCTGGAGGGAAAAACGGAGGAACCTCCTCTCGGCATTGGGATTCCTGGCCTGCGAGCGGGCCGATCGCTGCTTCCGACGGGCTGCTTCGACTGGAAGGCGAAGCAGAGTTGAGAGGCGGACTTTAGTCTCATAGTGGACTCGGCAAACTATCGGGAATCTGGTCCATCACGCGGCTTTGAACCAAATTACTCCTGTGAAATTCGTCACGATCGTTTGCCGCTCTTCAACCGCACTCTGCATTACTCCTTTTCCGTACGCAAGCATATGTTCGTAGATTCGGTCGGGGGAGTGCGGTTTTTCCGCCCTCTCGGGACTTCAGTCGTATTCGTAGTCACGCAACATGGGCCTCAAGAGTAATTGAAATCCAATTGTCTGTTCCTGCTTCGCACCGACCTAGATACACATGTTGGATCGACATAGGTCAAACCTGGCAACGCTGGCGCGATGTCGAGTTGGCGATCCGACGTTTGCCTTGCGCTCCAGATGGCTTTTAACGTTCATGATTTATTTATTCCACTCAATCGGTCTTGCCAAATTGAACTCAAGGATCCCTATCCGCGAGAATTCGATTTCCTTCTGTGACGCTGGAACAAAATCATGGGAAAAGCTCAAGACCATCACATGCTTCCAAAGGGTTTCCAACCATTCTACTCTACACTGCACAAGGTCTTTTCAATGGACGGAATGATTGGCGAAATTCTTAGCGCATACATTCTTCTAAGTTCGTATTGCGTGACAGAAACCGAAATTAGGTCAAGAAAAAAGTATTCAATCCCATTCTTTGCCAGAGGATGCTGAAAAACACAGGAATGCCCCCATCTATAAAGCGAATAGAACAATTGGATCTTGCTGA